ACTCTGGAAGCCACCACAGTGGTTTCAGTCTTCTCTTCTTCCTCTTATTAACCATTTTTTTCATATTTAATTATAGATAGAAACTCATTACTTAAGATGAATAAAAAGTGGTGGGTATTGTGGAGGTGCTTTGTTTCCATTTAGAGGAGGCTGGTTGAGCTGTTCACCGTCAGATCCTCCCCTCGACCTCCACTCTCACCTCTGCCTCCAGAGGGCCTGCAGCATCTCCTCCAGCACTTGGCAAGTAATGTCTCAGCACTGAGCACATTGCTGACGGTGCATTCTGAGCCCTAGAATCTCGGGGCCCAGAGAGATCTTAGCATGTACATGGGTCTACCCCATCCCCTTCCTGCAGTGCAGAGTACTTGTTATGTTATGGAATTCCTCAGGGGACAGGAGAGGAGGGTTCCGGCTCAGTGAAACACCTGGCAGCAGATGGATCACTTCATTCTTGTCTCACTTACATGGTTCTCTGTGGCCTTATCTCACTTTCCTAACTAGTTTAGGGCTAGGACTGTCTTCTACAGCCCCACAACTCCCACACAAAGCAAGTCAATCAATTAACTCTTAACTGAAGGCCTGACTGATAGCAAAAATTCAAGGTCACTTGAAATGTCAGGGTCCCTGGGTTGCTTAGCTCCAGAGAACATCATTTAAATTGTGTCCTATGGTTGTGCAAGTAGCAACCTTGTAAAGTTTGCAAGGTTTAGACTGCACTGTGTTTTCCAACTGAGAAAAACTATTAACACATTCTTTGCTGGTACAAAAAAATACTTCACCCCCTTATCTTCCAATAGGAGGCAACAACCAGAGTTAAGTTTTTTCAACCTCCTGAGGAATACTGTCTGCTAGGGAGTGTGTATGGATGTGTGGACGTGTGTGTGTGCACGTATGCGTGATGTGTGCTAGTAGATCTGCTGTGCTAGGAACCCATTTGGAACACAGGCTGTCCCTGAGTTACAAACATCTGACTTATGTACAAGTCACACTTATAAATGGAGGCTATTACATTAAGTCCTCAAGTTACAAATATCTGACTAACTGAAGACTCACACTTACCAGTGGAGGCTATTACAGGTAATAGGTAAATGTACCTATTCCAACTTAAATACAAATTCAACTTAGGGGCAGACCTGCAGAGCCAGGTCAGGTTTGTGACCTGGGGACTGCCTTAGTTCAGGCATCTTAAGCTGGTTTTCAAGAGGTTACTGTGTTTGTGTTCTTCCTAGACTTTCCCACTAAATAGACTCTTTGGTTTGAATGATGCCTTAGCGCTCCTGGCTTAGTAAAGCATCCCACAGAATGACTACAGGTACCCAGCCTGTGCCCCTAACTCACCAGATGAACAAAGGCACTCCTCATGGTTACATGGTTTTTTATCTTGGCAAAGTTGGGGAAATGCAGAGGAAGGAGGGAGGGAGCAAAGAGGTTCTCTTAAGAAAACCCCCTTTGCTGTTGTGAATTTCAAAGTAATGGGTCTTTGTGTTTTCTCCTCTCTACCCAGGAAACCAAGTGCTGCCTCCTGGAGCTGCTCTCGGAAATGGGCTCACACCAGAGGCAGCCAGAGACCTCGGCCTTCCCGTGGGGACTGCAGTGGCAGCTTCACTCATTGATGCCCATGCGGGAGGACTAGGTAACTCCTCAGTCCCTGTCTGTGGTGCTCAAATGCTGTAGTCCCCAGAACCTGACACAGGCCTTTCCTGTCTTCAAAGCAAAAGTCAAGGACTAGAGCTTCAAGATACAATAATGAAAAGCCTTTTACAGTTAGGCATTTGGACAGAATTAATTGAACTTTTCATGAAATATAGAACTTATAGTTTTATTAATTTCTTCATAGATAATGGCAAAATATATTTGAATGAATGTCTGGATGGTTCTTTTCTGTACTGAAAATTTGGAAAAGGTACATGAATTTCTAACTGGTGTACTTACCTATGCTATTTTCTTCTAGTGGTTCTCCAAAACTCTTGTAAGTCTAATAGATTTATTGCCATCATGTATTTGGCTGTGTCCTATATTCATTTGGTTATAGTCTTTATTTCATCCCCTGCATAACCCTCAAGCCTGTCACTCATGTATGCATTTGTTCATCATATACCAGTTGAACATTACAACGGTCAGGCCTGGTACCAGGAGACAGTGAATTTAAAACAAAACAAAAGAAAAACAAAGCCTCTTCCCCGAATTTTCATGGAAAAATTGCACAGTGAAACAAAGAATTCCAGTAAGGTTGGGTATGTATCTTCTTCATCCTCACTGCAGTTTTTCTCCCTTTTTTTGGTAGTTGATTCTCAGTAGCTCTCATTTCAACTCTAACCATATATTTTTTCCTAGCTTTTCATTCTAACAATGTTTTGTTTAACACTGTGGTTCATAATAATTCATGACATCAATTCAGCAGGACATGACTGCTGAATTGTGGAATAGAATAGAACAGGCAGGAAGACCGAGCGCATACTGCACATCCCAAGGGTCGGCCCTGCTTTGCCCGGCTGTGCTCCCGTTTTCCGTGGATGTTCGTGTGTCTACACACCTTGATGACAGGTAGTTTCTTACTGTGGATCATGATCAAAAGCCTTAAGGATATTCCAGTTCATACTTCATCCCGCAGCCAGGAGATGCTCACTCGCTCACGCCTCCAGCACCGTGTCCACGCAGTTACTCCTGTCAGGTGTGCTCTGCCCAGAGTGACTGGTCCTCCGCTTCCCCAGCCGCTTGCTTCTCTAACCTAAAGATTCATATCGCATGCTTTTCTTCTCTGCATTGCCCTCTATAGGACACTTAGACATAATCTAAAAGCTCTCCAAATTGTTCTTCTTTCAGCAATCTATTTCAAGAAATTATCACATTGTGCTATAATTTCTGCCTGTCTTTTCCACTAGACTGTGAATCCCCTGAAGGGAGGAATGTTATACGCACCTATTATTTTTCTCGTATCTCTTATGCCAAGCCCTGTGTCTGGTTCTTATAGGTGCTTGATGAATTGATTCATTTAATAATGAATAAAGTCACGTTGAGGCAAGGTTAAAGTGAACTGGCCTTACCCTGTAGAATAAAGGGCAATCTGTTTCCTTATTCTGCAGAATACTAAGCAGTGTCTTGTTCTTCGGCATAGTACAAGGACTTGTAGACACGGGATGGCCTATGCCAAGAGCGTCAGTCCTGCTCATCTTTCTGTCCTCAGGATGTAACATGGTACCTGAGAATTAGTAAACAACTGATGACCTGTGGGTTGGTTGAATGGTCTGTAATGTAGTTCTGATTACAGGCAAAGATGTTTTTCTCCAAATACCTTCATTGCAAGCAATGTGTGGTTTTGATTAGAATGTCATGATTTGGGATTTTAATTAGACTTACAGAGAGAGCGCTTGAGGTCTAGACAGATGGGAGTATCCTTATTTCCTAGCAA